GGTGCTGCAGAGGTCATGGACAGCCCGGCAGCCCAGGGCTCAACCGCTGCACCACCAAGGGAGGCCCTTTTTTTTTTTTAAGATTTATTTATATATTTCTACAAGCACTGGGTACAGTCAGAAGCGCTGGTTGGGAGGGTGAAAGAATTCACCAGAGCCAGAAGCGGAGCAGGCAGAGTGACGAAGTACACTGCTGAGGGGAGCAGCGGGTGGCAGGAGAGGTCTGCGCGCCATGTGGGACCCTCGCCCAGCGGGCTGGGATCGAACTGGCGCTGCAGAACTTCGCAGCCCAGCGCTCAACTGCTGCGCCACCGGGGAGGCCCGGGAGGCCCTTCTTAATGTCTTTTTAACTCTTACACTTTGCACTAGAAGGACTGTCAGGGGTCCAAAGGGCTGAGCCAGCTCTGTGGACTCCAGGGCCTTCATCATCCCCTATTGGCCATACCCCCGCCTCTGTCATTCTGCAGCTTCTTCCTCTGCCTCTCAAGCTCCTCTTTCATCTTTTGACCCTCACTCTTCTCCATGCCCCTAATTTTCAGTCTCTTCGTCCCCCTGACCCTTATTCGTGTCCTCCTGACTTTCTCTGGGTTTACTCCTCAGGGGCGCTGGGTACAGCTGTGCAGGTCGTTCACTGCACAAAAGTGACCACCTGCTTGCTGCGCCCACAAACATCGATCTGGATGGATACCCATTTTTCTTTTGTAAAACAGGGTTGGGGAGGCCTCAGCAGCAGCCAAGCCTGTGTGCTCTGCATGGATTCTAATACAGAAGAGGGGCCCCGTCTCTTGGAATTAGCACCCCGCAACTAAGCCAGCAGGGAGCTTGAGAAAAGGAAATGCTGTTGTGAAGTCAAACTAGTCAACTAAAATTGGTGATTAAAACTTTCCCTTTTTATATCCTTTGTTATGAATTTGAGAAAGAGTAAAAAACCATATTTGGGGTAAGTTGTTAAAGTTGGTGCCTTGAACTGGCCCCGCATGGCCCCACCCTGGCCAGGGCTTCCTCGTTTACCCCCGAATCTAGAACCCAGGAAGGAATCATGTGAGTCCCCAGGGGGTTATAAGAGGCTGAGGGTCTGTAAATTCAGTGTTACCTGTTTCTGCCCCCCGGAGCAGAATGCTGCTGCTGCCTCCTTGCAAGGTCATGACTGCCCTCCCCTGTCTGTGATCGCCACGAGGGGACACTAGTTCTCTCTGTGCCTTAGACAGTCGGGACACCATGGCCCATGGAAGGTCTGTCCCCAGCCCAGTGGTCTGTCCCCAGCCCATGTGGCTACGGTGCCACATGGCAGCCACTTAAAACGGTCCTTCCAGATAGGCTGAAACTGCATGGATTTGGGGCTGTGCTTTTCTCTCCCCCCAGACAGCAGCTGGCCAGTCTGCAGTTGCTTGCTAACAACCCTGGCTTGCAGTGTCTGTTCCTCTGGTGCTGCTGAGGGGACGCCTCTCTACCTGACTTTTCTATCATCCTGAAGCTGATTTCCGGGTTGACCAGAACTCCCCCTTCCTCACCCTCACACCCTCAGACGGTCCTCAGAAGCAATCAGAGCTTCTGTGCATTCCTGCAGGCAGCTCTGGAGGTGTGACAGCAAGATGCTGACAGACACAACCATGTCTCCGTCCTGAGCCCCTCCTAAGCCCTCCTCTCCTTCCAACGTGCTGCTTGACCGGAACGATCATTTTTTTTTTTTTGGTCCAGAAACCTCCTGGATAAGAGTCTGAGGGGAGAACTAAATTTGCAGTAGGACACTCTAAATTCTATACCAGGAAAATCTGTGCCATGGAATAAATGAACGTGTCACTTTCGCACACTGAACTATCAGTCTCTAATTAACTAATCAAAAGTAACCCGGCCATGCTTTTCCAGGGGAAGCAGGTGCCGACTCCCACGCAGCCCATTCCGATGGGGAGAGAATTTCTGTCCTGGACAGAACACATTTAATTTTCCCTTCTGAAAAGCGGTTAGCGGGGTCCCTGAGCACCTGTGGGATGGGTGAGGTCACTCATCTCAGAGACTGAGGCCCCCGAAAGCAGGGCTGGGAAGGTGCCAGGACCCCGCAGGTGGAGAGTGGGGCCACTTCTGCACCATCGTCCACTGCAGAAGATGCGAGCTGGGCGGGGCTACTCTGGAGGGTTTGACCTCTGCTACCTGTTACAGCCACCACCCCGAGGAGTCTTGAAATTAAAAACAGAAAAATAGCCTTGAAAGCAAAGGGCCTCCGAAAAGCTTTAACAACAGGATAAAGTCAGTAAGCAGGAGATGGTGGCGGCCGTGGGACGGGCTGCTGGTCTTCTGGGGCCTCATCTCTGAGTCATGTGGCTGTTCACCCTCCACGGGGCGCCCTCTGTGAGCCGGCCAAGGCTCAGACCTTGCCATGGGATGTGCCTGAGGTGCAAGGGATGCCCAGAATGAGTGTGTCAGTGCCCTAGAGATATGCTCCTGAGCATTAACTGCGGGGAAAAATTTGCTTTTTTATGTCTTTTACCGACAATGCCTCTAGCCAAGATGCTGAACAATTGAACCGCGACAGCACTCATGGGTGTGAGAGACTTCCTAGCTGCAAACACGAATTCTACTGTTGTTAGTGCTGAAGAAACCCCCATCTCAAGCAAGGAGGCTGTGGGGGCTCCCGGGCGGACCCCAAGGCCGAGGTCTGTGCCCCTGGGCTGGAGACAGGAAGCTCAGACCCTGGCCCAGAAGGAGCCTTTGGGTCCCTTGTGTTCCCTCTAGGCCATTCCATTTTTTTAAAAAGTCATTTCCTCTTCTAAAAAAAAACAAAAAACAAGATGGGTCCTGACTAGCTCATCTCCAACAGAGAACTCTGAATACCCATTCCCATGGGCAAAATCTGCCAGGGATATTTCTAGCTACAGATGACCTTTCGTGGTAGGACCAGCATCATTAAAGAAACGAAACAGGGGCCTCCCTGGCGGCCTAGAGTAAGTCTCAGCGCTGTCGCCGCTACAGCCTTTGAATCCCGGCCAAGGAGCTACCCACAGGGTGCAGCAGACCTCTCCTGTCTCCCCGCTGCTCCCCTCAGCAGTGGATTTCAGTCAGTCTGCCTGTTCTGCTCCCCACTCTGTCTCTGGTGAATCCTCTCACCCCCCGCACCTCTGGCCTGCACCCCAGTTCTTCTACGCAAATAAATCCTTAAAAAAAAAAAAAAAAGAAATGAAACGAAACCTCTACCTGGAAAACCAAAACCTTATTCTTGAGCAGTTATCATTTCAAGAGAACTTGCTGCTTTCGTTTCAGAGACAGACCGTTACGTGGAAGGAGTAGAGACGCCTTTGGGCCCAAAGTGGCCCATTCTCCACGGGACTCAACTCTGGATATGGGACGACGGTTGAGCAGAGCGCGAGGAGCCAGGAGCCCAGGCCCGGCCGCACGGCCGCGGACACCCACACCCGGCCCTCCCCGCGGGGCGGGTCCAAGTCACAGAACCTGGCGCCCGAGTCACCTCCACGCTCCGCCCAGCCACCCAACGGTCTCCAGGAGCTGAGGTCTGTGCCCGGAATAGAAACCGTCTCTGTTTTTCCTAAGGCACTCTCCGAAACCGTTTGTTGTTTTGCTAATATTTTAGGGAACTATGGAAAAACTCGCACAGCACAGAGAGAAATTCTGCAAACAGGGAGCGGGGTTGCCTGGGGTAACCTGTGCCGACTCAAACCAGCATGCTCAGCGGTGCCTCCTGGGGGAGGCGCCCTGGAGTAAGGTTCCGACACCTGCCCTTCCCTCCCCACACCACCCCCCACCATTTCACCAGGGACAGACTGGGGTGGGGTGGGGTGGGGCGGGGGTGATGGTGGCAGGGCTGGCGTGACGGGGCAGCTGGGGACACACAGGCCATGACTCAGACCACGTCGCAGCTGTCCGGCAATGGGCTGTTTGTCTTATGTTGTCCTGGTTACAATCTACTCTAGTGTTGGACCAATAGATCCAGTATTAATTATGGGCTTTGGAAGAACATGCATGGAAGAGCTTGATGTTAAAGGACCGCGACAGGAATCATCAGCCTCCGTGGCTCTCGTGATAGCGGTGCCTGCGACGCCCTCCCCAGCGGCAGGCCTCGCTGTCCGTCACATGATGGGGCTGAGCGTCCCAGCACGGCCCGGCCGCACCCTCTCAATGGAGACTTTTCACAGAACTTAGAGGAAACGTGCAGCCACAGCAACAAAGGAAGAGTGAACTGAAGTTCTCTTCCTCTTCCTGTCACCTCCAGCTCTAGAACTCCAAGGGCACAGCGGGCACCATCAGGTTGCTGATAAATGGCCTGGGTTTTGTGATGACCGATAAATGTTATGAGACAACCTTAAACGACAGGCCACAGGCTTTGGGTCATTGAGCACTTGGGTGTCTTCTCCACGTTATCTGGTACGTTCCAACGACCCGGGAGTCACGGGGAAGCTGCGTGGGAATTTATCTGGGCTGCCCCCGGATCACCCACAGGTGCGCCCCCCGAGGCTGGTGCTCTCCACGCGTGTTTACGACGGAATCCCCCGAGAGGGAGCGCAGCGGGGGACCCAGAAGGTGCTGCGTGGTGAGTAAGCGGATGCGAGTAAACAAGTAAACGAGCAAACGTGATCAGGGAGGGGCCTCTTCCCGCGGGACCTGGGATCTCACCAGTCACACTTGCAAAGGGGCTGGGAGGGCTGCAGAGTTGACTCTGCGTGTTTAAAAATGGACAGGAAATGATTCAGCAGAAGTATTGTTAAAATTAAAGGCCAAGCCTGCCTGCCTGCATGTAAGAAGTCCCGAGAAGTGCCAGGAGTCAACCCTTTAATTCTAGATTCAATGATCTCCTTGAAAGATGATCGTTTGTATTTTGGGACAAAATTGTTTTGAAGAGTTAATTAATCGAGCGCAACACCACACTGTGGAGTAGAAGACTTCTCCCTTTTCAAAGGCAATTTCCCTTTGAAAACACACACACACACACACACACACACACACACACACACACACACACTGGGGGTGGCAGTGGGGGAAGGTCTTCTCACCGTTAGCGACAAGGCCATGCACACGAACGTGAACTTCTTGATGTGGGCGGCTGTCACTGTGTTGCTCGTGCTCACCAGTTTATTGCTGGGGTTGTTCTAGAGGGAAAGGCAGGACAGTGGTGAGTGGGCGAGGGTCGCCCCAGGAGGACAGCACCTGCCTCTCCACGAGCATTGGATGGGCGAGAACAGAGGCTAAACGGCCTCGGAGGGTGGCCATCACTTTGAGGCCCTCAGACCGCTGCCCAGTTTCTGTTTATGACCATGAACCCGAGGCTGCTCTGGAGAAACGCCTGGCTTGGTTTCCTGAATGGGTCGGCCCCCTGCCCTTCTTGCTGGACGCCCATCGGGTCTAGTCTGGGGCCTCAGCCAGTGTGGCTCCTCTCCCTGCACACCCCAGCCTGCCCGGTGACCTTAAGGCCCTCTTCTCCCCACCAAGTGGGCTAAGGTCCTGCCGGCTGACACATTTTCACTTCCTTGCTGTCCTTCTCCACCTAGATCCCCAAAGGAACCTCAAGCTTGCCCTGAAACGCACTTGGGGTTTTTAATGCCTCCTCCTCTTGTTGGCTCTTCTGTCAAAACACCCCAGTCTGCAGGGCACATGGTTCCTGAACACCTCCCTGATCTTGTACCTCCAAAACGCTCTGGGCTCCTGCTGTGACCAGGGGGCCACCTAGGCTGCTGTGTGCAGAACCAGATGCCGATGCCCCCTCAAGCCCCATGGGTCTCTAGGATAAAGGGCGCATGTCCCACCCACCCCTGCATCTCTTATAACTCAGCTCAGTCGCTCTGGAGCAGGAAAGGTGCCCTAAAGTCTGTCAAATTGAATTTTAAGCCAAGAATGCAGGTGGCTCAGCTCCCTCTCCTGGTCTCTGCATTTCAGGCTGGCTGAGGTCGCCCGCACCCCCGCCTCGCATGCCCAGCACCCCACCCCCAGGGCAGCCCCGCTGAAAACCAGCAGAGAAGATTAGCCCTGGCTCGTTATGGAGCTAGTTAGTCCAGAGCTGTCTAATGAACACGCAGCCCAGCACCTGGCTCCCGCGCCCCCAGCACAGCACGCGACCCTCGCCTTAGAGTTTCTAATGTTGTATTTTGGGGACTGAGGCAATTCCTTGAATCCCACTCCCTGCAGGCCTCTGCAGCCATAACCTTTGGATTATGTGTACACGCTTCTTTTGTTTTTGTTATATTATTATTTTGTTCTTGTTGAGGTAACAGCGGTTTACAACACTGCACTTGACCTAGGGGTGCAGGCCCCAGGTCTTCAGGTAAAATGCACCCACCACCAAGACACCCACAGTCTCCCACCACTTTCCTCTGGGCGCCCCACTTTCCTCGCCACCTCCTTCCAGTAGACTCAGCTCTACACTCAGATTTCTAGGTATGTTTTTGTTTCATCTGCTCTTTGTTTAGTTTCTAAACCCGATCCTTTGTTTAGTTTCTATGTTCCATGTCTGAACGGAACCTTCAGTATTTGTCTTTCTTTCTCTGACTTATTTCGCTTAGCATCCTTCCCCAGTTCCATCCATGTGTGGCAAATGGCAAGAGTCCCTCTGTGAGTATACAAGCTCCTTTCATGTTAGACAGGAGCAGGATGCTGATGGCCCTGGGGCAGTGGGTATGCATCACAAGGTATGACTGGGAACGCCCAAGGGGCTGGTGACTGATGTATTCTACATCGCAGGGACTAATCAGTGAAATGCCGTGTTAATAAGATTGGCACCATGGTTGGGGGTCTGGAGTATATCAGCGGACTCACCCTCCCTAAAGCCCAAAATCCAGTATTCAGTTTGACCTCTTTTCTCTGTCAATAAAAAGGCCAGGATCTTGCTCTTCAGCAGCATCCTACAGCCTGCTTCACAACTCCTGGTTCTTTTATTATCTTTTTCATAGCTGAGTACTATTCCACTGTGTCTATAGGCCACATCTTCTAAGCCACTCATCTCTCCTTCTGTCCTTGGGCACTTAGCTAGATCTGGGCTCCATAGCACATCTGCTTTTCCAAATTACAGACTTACCGCAGCCAGGTGCAACTCACCACAGGTGACCCAGGAGCAGTGCCCTATTGGGTACACTGGGGATAGTCAGGCCACCTCAGAACACACACATCACCCATGGTGACAGCCACAGCTCCTCCAGGTGCGGTTTTATTTTTTAAACACTACCTACTTCTACAAGTGTGGCTGGAATACACTAAAATGCATCATTAGATTCCATGTGGGTTTTGTTTTGTTGCCCAGTCAGCTTCAAAACATGCCCTTTTGCACATGATAACTACAAAGAGAGAATTTGGGAAATTCTCCCAGCATAATATTTAGCTGGAACCACCAGAAGTTAGAGGAGACAGGTAAAATCTTGGATGCTGAAAAGAAACTAAGAATTTCAAGTGTCAAAGAGGCAAGTTCCACAAACTGAAGATCTGAAGTGTTGAAGATTTGAGTGAATAGACATTCACATAAATATGGGCTTGGGGTGGCTCAGGGTTAGGCCGGGAAGCAACGGGCGAGGTCCACAAGGGTTCCAAGTAACTCCTGTTTCTGGCTAGAGGTACCCTCGTTAAAGGCATTTTTTCCCCAGAGTCTCTGTGATCACGAATAAGATGCTGTTTTTCTTGGATGCTGCCTGTGAAACTGTATAGTGTTGTATTGGTAAGTTTTATTATTTCAGGGTAGCCAAAACCAATTTTAGATGAGACACTGCCAGCCAGGAGCTTCTAACACTTCAGTGCCTGCGGTTTTCATCAAGTTTTATGATATCATCTCATTCTCCCAGAGCTAGGAAGTTAGCAAGAAGTCATTTCCATTTTGCTTTTCTAGGACTGATTTCTATACATGTGTTGATGGAAATGAAAACCATGAATGGCTTTCATCCAATCTATTGCTAGAAATCATTGTTTTCAAGATCCACAGAGGCTTTCAGCTTGAGTACGTCCGCTGTGTCCAAACCCACCGGGACCAGGGCAGCCGCAGCTGTTTGTGCCACAGTCCACAGAGGAGCGCCAGAAGCTCGCAGCTTCCTGCTGTGCCTCCAGCCCCAGAAACAGTGTCAATATATTAAATGATTTTGAGAGTATTTTTCCTTTTGCAAACAAATAATTTCTCAATACAAATAGCCCAGGGAAGTGGGGGCTGGGGATGCCTGTGGGGGAGCCACCAAAGGCTCAGCAGGCCCACGGTGACGCTTGCCTCTGATGTTTTCTGAGGGAAACTCTCCACAATTATCTTCCCCGCCCCCCACATTAACCTTACAAAAGGAGGGGTGACTGGAAGCCCAAGGTCTCCCTCTTCAGTGAGCCCTGTCCATCAAACGCTCACTTTAAAGAGTGTGTTTCAGACGCTAGATGCACAGGTCCTCACCTTGTCAAAAGCAGGGTAGACGGCACGGATTTCTGTCAACCAGCCATATGGCATGTGGCCCACCGGGTATGTGGCTGTCAAAATCGCCACCGCCTGAGAGAGAGAGAGAGTCAGAGAGAGTCAGTGGGGCACCTGGTTGGCAGGTGGCATAGCAAGCTGCCTCAGGTGTGGCCACCCTGACAGCTGGCTCCACACTGGTGACAAGCATGGCCAGTTACAGGGAGTTCAGGAGGGGGCAGGCACTCCCCTGCACCCCCGGGAGTAGGGTGAGCAGCAGGGGACCACATGGAGGTGTCCCTGGGACCGTAGGACTCATCTCGTTTTACGTAAATCCAATGAGAATCAGGTCCAGACTCCAGAATCTTTGCTCCCTCCATGGAGCCACATAGAACCTTCTAGTCTAACCTGATCCTTGCGTCTCCAAGTAGATTCTGAGCCCCACCTGCTCTCCAAGTTGTCAACTCAGGACCCACCTCCAAGCACTGGGTCTCCAGCATGGCTGCAGGCCCGCTGGCCAGCTTTGGGAGCCTCATTTTCCGACCTCATCCACTTCTAGTCTGTTCGGCCAGGACAGCCCAATTTTAATTTTTAGTTTAAGAGAAGCAAATAAGCATTTCTTACAGGAGGCCAAAAGTGTTATCCCATGAAAACGAATTTCTTTTCTTATGCGAATGAAAAGAAAAAGAAAACAAAGCAAAGCACCCACTCTTACTGTGGCCCAAGTCAGCTGCTTCTACTTTATGAACAGACTTGGAGGCTTGGAGGTGCCATGTGCCCAGTTTGGGGCGGGCGTAGCGAGGCGGAGCCAAAAAGAGCATGGAATTGGGGCCTGGATTCCAACCTTCACTTTCTCACCTAGTAGGGATGGGAGTGTGGGAGGCTCTGCCCTCGCCAGCCTCCCTCCCGCCCCACCCCTGCAGGAGCTGGAGGATTGCCAAGCCCTCCCACAGGGCCGGGAAGTCAAGAACACGTGCCCACACGGGACATGTGAGCAGACGATCAATACCTGTCGGTTCTGTGCACCCCAGGCTCTCTGCGCCTGCAGGTCAATTTAGAAATGGCTCTACCGTAAGACCTGCTCTGTTTTCTAAGGGGAAGGGACTCCTGCACAGGGGACGGCCTCCCTTACTTCTTACTGAGCAAACTTAACCTGCGGTATTGGAGCAAAACAGCTGCCCGAGCCACCCAAGATGACAGTCAGGACTCAAAACCGAGTCCAGGAACACACAGGCAGGAGAGCCTGTGGCCGTGACGGATGAGCCGCCTCTTCCAAGCCCGCAGGAGCGGCTTCTCAGCTCATGGAAACTGGCAGGAGCGCGCAGGCCGGAGGCCGGCTGACCGAGGACTCAGGGGCGAGGTGCCCGCGGGAGCCCCGGAGCAGCCACCCGCCTTCCTGAAGACTCAGCAGTTCCAGAGACAGAATTAATTCTCCAGAGGGCAGCGGAGGAGGAGACCAGTGAAGTCATCCTATTTGTTCACACCACGCTGGAAAGACGGAGAAAATGATTCAAGTCTTTCTTTGGCGTAGCTACCAGTTTCCAGATAAATTTCTTGAGCTGTCAAGGGTAAAGAATGACGAGCCAGTTTGGAGCACAGCAGAGGGCCTAAGAGTGTGTAACCCATGTGGGCTGGTGGCACATGCAGGAGGGCGGAGACCAGGTGAGAGCAGGTAGGTGGGTCAGAACCCAGGCCTGGTGCTTCACCCTTCGGTACTTTCGCTCCAGCTGCAGCTACTCGGCATATTTCCTCACCTTCTGCAGCTGCAGCGGGCTGCGAGCAACGCCCGAGCCTGGCGGCCAATCTGCATTTAACTTTTGACCCCTCCACAAGGTCACCACAGTCAGCCCCGGGCACCCCAGGGGACTGGTTTCAGGACAACCGGATGGACACCAAAGACACCAAGGATGCTCAGTCCCTAATCGCTGCCCACTGCACACACGGCTGCTCCCTCCCGGAACTCAGCCACCAGATGCTGGGGCATCCGTGAAGGTGGAACCCTGGGTAGAAAGGAGTCTGCCTGTGAGTGATCCTCACAGTTCAAAGTCGCGTGGCTCCAGGGCCAAGGGCATCGTGAAGAGGCATCAGAGACTCCACGGGAAACAGAAAAGGCTTTCTGTGGGATTAGCGACATCTGGATTCTAACTGCAGCCCTGCTTCTTGCTGGTTTTGTGTCCTTGCCAGAGTTTCCTCATATGGGGAAGGGGAAGGATGAATTAGAGGTTTGCTTCCATAATCATAAAAATGTAACACTGGAGATTACACAGCGCTGAGTGGCTTCCTGGACAGAGTGAAGGTGGCACCTCATTCGATACCTCAGAATTACTGGAGCTTTTAAGATGAACTGGGAATAAATTTGTCACCCACAGCACCACGTCCCCCAGCTTCGAGGGTGCCAAGGAGCACCCTCACCCCGAGGAGGGTCCTACCTCTGTGGCTGCAGAGCTGCCCCCGAGGTCCCGGGAAACAAAGAGATTGACGATAGGCCTGCTGATCCTCTGCGTTGCTAAGATGAGGGCCAGCGGCCACCAGAAGCCCAGCATCTTCCTTATGGTTGCATCTCCCTGCACCAGGAAATGGAGACAAAAAGGCCACTCAATTTAGAAGCAGAAAAAACAGTTCAGAACCCAAACCTTTTTCATGTCCAACATGAATCAATTCGTGCTACTTTAAGATTATATAAGGAAAGGGGGGGTCTCCCTGGTGGTGCAGGGGTTATAGTCTCAGTGCTATCAAGCCATCACCAGCTGCTGCGGCATGAGTTCAATCCTGGCCAGGGAGCTACCCACATGGCGCAGCAGACCTCTCCTGTCTCCCCGCTGCTCCCCTCAGCAGTGTCCTGCAGTAGATCCACCTGTTCTGCTCCCCACTCAGTTGTCTCTGGTGAATCCTCTCACCCCACACACCTCTGGTCTACACCCCACTCTTCTATGCAAAAATAAATTTAAAAAACCTTAAAATTACATAAGGAAAGGCCTCTGTAGGCAAGTCAAGTTGAATTAAAATGAACTGTAGAGTCTTATTAGATTTTAACTCAGGCAGCTGGCAAGCTGCTGTGAAATCAAAACACACATTTAAGCTGGAAGGATCCAAACCACTATTTTCCAAACAGAACAACCTTAACCAAGGCAGAACGCGACTCCATGTTGGGCCTGAGAAACAGGTTTGAAATCCGTCATTTTTGTTGAACCCACCAAACCGGCTGGCTCAAAGCCATGTCAGTAAGAGGTCACGCTTAGAAATAATTATTGGAAGAGGCCCAATGGACTGGTGGAGGAGCGTGGGTGCCTTCATGCGGGGTGTGGCATGGGGACATGCATCTGAAGGGGCGTGCACCACACCTCTGAGTCACAGTGTTGTGAACCAACGTTACCTCCATAAACAAAAAAAAAAAGAAAGGAAAATTTTAACATATTTTGGAGTCAGTCGGCCATAAACGCGTTGATTGCTGGCATCGTGTCCCTCTACAGAGAGGATCTACTCCCCAGAGCGTGCCCCAGCAGCAGTCACATGCTTGTTCAGAAGCAGAAGCCAAATAAAAGCATGGTGGAGAAGGTGACTTCTTTATTAAGGATTCTGCATCCGAGACGGTGCCATCTTTAAAGCCTGGCTTTCATTATGTGACTTTGATTCTTTGTGAGGTCAGAGTCACATCCCGGAGCTGTCCCAGTCACTCAATCCACATGACTCTGCCGTGGCTGCAGAGTCACGTCAAGGCCAGTGTGACGGCTGCCCTGGCGGTGGGCTGGCTAGGTCAGGTCTCACAGACGGCGTGAACTCAGACGCAAGTAAGTGGGTGATGCCCACAGTAACAGGTGCTCACAGGTGGAATCGGGGGCTGGGGTGGTTTATTTAGGGTTATCTATAACCATGCAGGTGTTTAGATGGAGACGAACCCAACCAGTGCGTTTATGGCCGACTGACTCCCAAATACATGATGATAATTTTTCTTTCTTTTGTTTATGGAGTGAGTCTGACAACTGAGGCAGGAAAGGTAAGTGTGCAGATAACACACAGACGCTGCTTGAAATCCTCATGAAAACATGGTGCCAGCCCTGGTGTGACATTGGGCCTGCTTGTGTCCTATTCAACTTGTGAGCTGCAGGCCCAGCTCTGGCCCGTCTGGGAGGCTCTCCCAGCGCACGGCCATCTTCCTTCAGGCCTCAGCAGCGCTGTCTTCCTGCCTGGTCTGTGTGCTGACCCGGCTTCACATTTGACTGTTGTTTCTGCATTGGTTCTGTCTGCTAAAGCTGCCTGAGGCCGAGTCTGTATCTGGAACCTTCCTGTGTCACCCTATGAAATCCAAATGCTCTGTTTGGTCTACAGAGGGTACAGAATGAGCATGATCAGCCAGTATAAACGAGCGTGGATCCCAGCTGTAAAGTTAAAAATAACCAAACGTGTATTCAAAGGTACCAAGGATATGAAGCCTTTGTTGACATTAGGATGATGCTCAGAGGGAGAACCATAGATGTGTCTGCTCCTCTGCCTGACATGACTCACTGAGCCTCAGAGAAGGGGGAGAGCAGGAGGCTGGAGGGTGACCCCCAAGATCTCCACCTCCAGGGTTCACTGATTCTCCTCCTGTCTGTCCCTGAGGACACTATCTAGCAGCTGGCCTCCGGGGAGGAGACCAGGATCCTAGGCCGGTCAGATGGACTGGGGTAAACTTCACCCTGAACGTCAGACAGGCTGTCCAGGACGTGTGGGCACGTACCCCCAGTTCAGGCCCACTCCGGTCGGGGATGATGTCATGGATGTTCCTGTAGTAGCCCAGGCACAAGGTGGTGCAGCGCACGAGGGCGCCCATGTACAAGGACAGGATGGGGATGAGCAGGGGCTCCCGACACTCCAGGTGGCTGTGAAGCAAAATGGCTACGAAAACGACCTGCAGGGAGAAGCAAGAACAAGCCAGAGACCCATTAACTCAACAGCACATCGGGTCATGAACAGACGCGCTGAGGGCACGAGAGGAGGGAGGTGGGGATGAGGGGTCGGGGGAAGGACCTGAGTGCAAACATCAAACTTACCCTTTGAAATTGTGACATGAAGTCAAACAAGGTTTAAAACTACTTCACCAGGAATGGCCTCAGGCCAGATGGCGTCTGAATCCAACTCCCGGGGCTACAACATGCCAGAGGGGCTTTCTCCGGACCTGTGAGCCTCCCATCAACCAGGGCAGGACCAGAGGGCAAATAGCCCAAGGCATGATGGCAAGGACGCTCTGGGGGTTTCGTCTACTCTTGCATATTTGCTATATCTTAGGCAAAGTTAGGTTTTTAATTCTTTTTCGCCTTTAAGAAAACACATCTACGGGCCTCCCTGGTAGTGCAAGGGTTTAGGGCTCAGCACTAAGAACCTATCGGCAGCTACTGCAGCATGAGTGTGATCCCTGGCCAAGGAGCTACCCGTATGGTGCAGCAGACCTCTCCTGTCTTGCCTGCTACTCCCTTGAGCAGCGTATTTCAGTCAGTCTGCCTGTTCTGCTCCCCACTGTCTCTGGTAAATCCTCTCACCCCCTCACCCCGTACATCTGGTTTGCACCTCAGCTTTTGCATGCATGCATAAATAAAATAAAATCTTAAAAAAATAAATACATCTACACATGCTCATTGGGCTGCCAATGCTCATGTGAGAAAGGAGAGTGGTTTCTTTAACTTCAGATCAAGTGACTGGGGTAAGTAAGAGCAGTTTAGTTCACCTCTCAGAGGACGAATTAAAAATCAGACCATGACAAAAATCTCAAAAAGCTCATCAGGAAAATGAGAAAGACACATCAAAGAATGATGTTAGCTAGTATTCAGACACAGAGTGTGAGCAGGAATCAAAAATTACTTTTAATTGTGATCCACGAAGTAAATGCAATTAATCTGGAAATTTAATTCTTGGTCTTTAGGGAGGTACTAACAGTTTAACAGTAGACTGCTTCCAAAAGGTGGTTAAAAGACGAGCGTGTCCAGTGGGGGTAAATCACTGCACGGAGGCGCTGAGAGTTGGGGAAGGGAGATGAGCAATCTGTCTGTCCTCGGCCTCCAGGAAGAGACCATTCTCCTGATCCCTGAGTGCAGGAACCAAGTGTGATTTAGAAAGTACAGGAACTAGATCCAATGTTGGGCTGAAATCTTTCCTGTGGTCACACTGGTGGGAAAAGAGAGGAAGGAGAAAGGAGAGCCCCAGCTGGTGCCAGACCCCAGGGAACTGGGCTCAACAGCAAGTGCAATAAAGGCTCGGCTTCAGGAGGTGTGGACGGCCAGAGGACGGCCTTCCTGGACCTCCCTGCACGGGGAAACGACGCGTGAGGGCAATTGAAGAATAATTCCTAAGAGCTCCCTGTAGAACTGAGGGATAGACCATATTTTACGAGGCCACAGGGGGCACTGTGACCCTATAGTCACCCAAATATGTACTAGTTGTGACTTCAGGGTCATTACAACACACTTGAGGTCAAAAGAAAGGTCAAAATCTCAGATACTAAATTTGATTTCCTACAAACCTCATTCTAGCCGGATTATGCACAGAGCTGACACTTGCACAACATAGGGGATGGAGCACTGACAGCCCCCGCCAACCCCCGTGTGGTCCGAAATTGAGTATAAATTCTGACTCCCTCCTTATTTAGCTACTGACCGCCCGCCGTCTGTCCACTGGAAGGAAGACTTTGCAATAACATCAGCATCTATGACACACATTTTGTATGCAGGGATCACCATCTGGATTGGAAGTTTTCTTTCCAATGGTTTTTAAACTAAGAGCTCAAATCGATTACTAGACCTAGGACTATTTGGGTTGTCCATTTCTTCTTGGTGTCTAGAGAGAATGGGTCTATTTAGATAGTGAACAGAGGGTCACAATGACCTGAAATTACTCTGGATAAGCACTAGTGGCAGTCATGCCCACTTCTCATCCCTGAAGTTAGTGATTTGGATGCCTTCCTCTGTTATTGGTCATTTTGATTACATGTTTATCAATTTACTGCTGTTTTCACAGAATTAGCTTTAGTCTGATGGTATTTTTCCTCTGTTTTCTTGCTGTCAATGTAACTTATTTCTGATTTATTATTTTTCATATTTTGTGTGCTTTGGGATTAACTGGCTCTTCTGTCTCTGGACTTATTTTTAAGGTGAAAGGTGAGATGACAAATAGAAAATTTAAATTTGTACTTTAAAAGATGTGTATTTTGTGGGCTACATATTGTGTTCTTACAATAAAGTCAGTGAGGCAAAAGAAAATATTATGGAGAAAATCATACAGAAGGGAGAATACATTTACAGTCCTGTTCTACATTTATTGATATGGTAAGTTTAGGTTGTGCTTCCAAGAAAATCTGTGTGTAGTGAATCCACACCAGTTCAAACCTAGGTGCCTCAAAGGTCAATTGTACTCACATTACAGGGTTTCATTTTTGCATCTGATAAACAAATATTTACTGAAGTCCTTATTTGATTTGTCTCAATGGACCCCCGGAATGTGGGACCGAATGTACACGAGGCACCCACAAGTGTCATGGAAGGGGCTCTGAGTGGCCTCGTGACACGCTGTACTAACCTGAGCTATGACGTCTGAGATTGAGGCACATCCCACCAGGAAGCTGTATTTGTGTTTTAAGAGAATGCCAGCATGGGTCCATGCCTGCCAGGAAGAAAAGAACTTTGTGTGAGACACGTCTTGAGGTTACATTATTTCTGGTCGTTACTATTTACTGGGCACCTCCAAAATAGACCGTATCCGCCCCAGAGCCGTGCTGGCACAGGTTGACAAATCTTCGGTTTGCGAAATTACCAGGACTTGACAAGGAGGCTGCAGCCACGCTGGATCTCTGGGTAGCCTGCGCCTGCCCGATCTGTGTTTGTTACCAGTTCTAGGCAGACCCAGCACTGGCGCTGGGCCAAGAAAGACCCAGGATGGTGGGAACCACCTCCGTCGCCCTGAGCACTATCCCAAAGGAGCAGCGTTCTCACAGGGAGCGCGTGAGACTCAAGCTCTAATCTGGTGCTGAGTTATTCACCACCGCAGGTTCTTACAGACCAATTAGGCTTCTCCTATTCCCTCCTCCAAATTTGCAAGATCTGACCTGACACTTTGAGCCTTTGAGGGAATCAAGAAGAAAGTCCTTGGAGGGGTGGCAGGTTTGGGAAGGTTTGAAGGCCACGGTAGGGTCACCGCTCTGAACCTGAACGGCCGAGCTGGGCTAGGAGGGAAGTAACACGTTATCTGAGCTGAACAACCAGCAGACCGTGGGATTTATCTCCTGGTCTGTGTCAAGACTTCAGTGGCAGCTGCTGCATCTGCTTCCAGAGGCTCATAGGTCCCCAGGTGCCAAATGTGAAAAGAAACACAAACTGCTGATAACACTCGCAAATAGTGGCGTGTGGGCTCTCTGTTGGCCTTGTGGTTCTCAGATATGATCTCTCTCACCAGCGGTCCAGGGCTAGGCTGTGGGGTGTGTGTGCATGTGTCTGTTTGGGAGATGACCAGGTCTTTAAAAATGTTCTTTATTTTTTTTTTTACCAGCAGTCTCGTACCATGCAGATCCTCGGGGAGAACTAACAGCTGAACAGGGAGGAAAAGGGTGCCAATCACAAATTTTCTGGAGTTTTAAAAGCCTTCTTATAGCAGATAAATAGAGCTGAAGGGGGTGAAATACAGGATATTTAAGAGTCTGGATTCAACTGAACTAACGGTGCTGAATTCCCTGTGCGAATGGGTCTCTTCCATGCGTTTGCAGAGTCCTAGTACAGGTGTCAGGATGGGCAGAGGCTCAGCGGCGTGAGCTCTGCCGGGGGTCAGCTACTACTCGACGAGGAAGTGATATGGTCATTTCATGAAGTTCTCTAGCTGATTTCAAAGCACCTGGTGCCTTGCAGGCAGCCTGGGCACCATGGACAACCTGCTTCTCTGGGCTCCAACCCCTTCACCCTGTTCTTTTTTTCTGAGTATGTGTCCACTACCAGAGCAAACACACCTGGCAATAAACATGACTGTGAACATCCAGGTACAGGTGTTCTGATGGCCATATTCTCCCACCCTAAAATGATGTCATGGGGCCTCCCTGGTGGCACAAGGGGTTAAATATCAGCACCATGAAACTATTGCCAGCCACTGCGGCATGAGTTTGATCCCCAGCCAGGGAGCTACCCACATGGTGCAGCAGACCTCTCCTATCTCTCCGCTGTTCCCCTCAGCAGTGTATCTCAGTAGATCCACCTGATCTGCTCCCCACACTGTCTCTAGTGAATCCTCTCACCCCCCGCAGCTCTGGCCTACACCCTAGTTCTTGTGTGCATAAATAAATAAGATAAATATTTAAAGTTACGTCATGGCGACTGAAAGCCCAAAGCATTGCATCAGAACTGAGTCAAATGCCAAAGATGTCAGTCACAAATACAAATACTGTCTATTCCACTCCTGAGGTACTTAGATAAGTTCATTTCAGAGACAGAAAGAAGGTGATGACCAAGGGTGATGACCTGGGGGAGGACAGGGGAAAGTGGGGAGTCAGTGTTTAATGGGGATAGGGTTTCGTTTTCATCAGATGAAGCGCTCTGGCCACTCAACACTTCATGCCGTTGAACTGTAGTCATAAAAATGGTTAAAATAGTAAATTTCATATTGTGTATATTGAATCATAATTTTTTCAAAAAGTGCCAGCCAGCGGTCTTCAGTTGTCCCAACTCACCATCGCATCCATAAAAGGGAAGGCAGCAAGATACAGGAAGGCCCTTCTCGTTTTGCTCCCCACCGACTCATCCACGTGGTGCAGCTTATTGATAATGTAGTAACCTAAGTCACTATACGCTGCAGAGGACCAAGACACAGACATGGTGTTATTTAGAGAAAGTGTATAAATACACTTTTTGTCTCAAAAGTTTAAGAACAATTCTAAATATGATTTTCATTTTTATAGGAAAAATGAGAAAATTTAGATGACCAAATAGAAGAAAATCATCTACAGTCTTCTCCCTCCATCCAGAGGAGGGCACAGGTAACACTCTGGTTCCAATTTCCCGGTCCTTTTATGTGCATGTGTGTGTGTGTGTGTGTGTGTGTGTGTGTGTGTATATGCATGTGTGTGTGACATAAAAATAGGATCATTCTCTCCCTTCTCTCTCTCTGACACACACACACACACACACGCGCGCGCATATATAACAACACTCTTTTGTGGAGCATGAACTCTCCATGAAAAGCTTCTATATTTTAATGGTTGCACTGAATTTCTTTTTGTGGGTTTACTTAATATCAGCTTATTCATTTTCCCATTTTTGTATTAATACATTTAGGTTGTTGCCAGTGTTCTGATATCACCGAAGAATGCTTGTTTGACATGTTTGAAGCTAAATGTTTGCACATATTCCTAATTTTTTACCCAGAGAAAATTCCTAGAACTTACTCTGCCTTTTCAATAAAGGTTTACAGCTGGCTTTTCACCTCTTGCTAGTCCTTGAGTTTCATTCTCTGCAAGGAAGGTGGCAACTTTGAATACAGTCCTGGCCAATGGAAAAAATGGAATCTCTATGTTGATTCCCAAGTGCCTCCAACGTCAGATATTCATGGCCAGACAGTGTGTGACCAGAACAGAGTGATGCTTCATCAATACAGGCTGAAAATGCACTGGTGGGAATAGGTATAAATGAAACAAGGAAGAGGTCTTCCTTCTGTAGCTCCTTGAGATATCATTAGCAGAGATTAAATAAAATATTAAGTTATTTTCCATCTCACTGATACATGTTTAGTGTACACAGAGAAATAATCATCTTCATTGTTTTACACGGTGTCTTAATCGGAATGTCCTTGCTGTGCTCATTCTTTTACGAATAGCAATATGAACGTACTTCACAACTACAGGAGCAGCTTTGAAAGTGAAATAATAGTGATGATGATGATGATAATAATAATAACCATTTCAATGCCTGGAGGGACTTTTTACCACACTAACCTTTAAGAAGAAATAACCCTCGATCCTTTGTGGGGATGAGACTTGAACTCTGGGGGTTTGGATTAAATGAGGTCTTTGGGATGTTATCAGGGACATATAAAGGCACAGATGGGCACCCCAGCAGGGGCAGATGCCAGTGAGAGGTTTCAGGAGCAGGGCCTGCAATGGCTAAGACATCTGGAGACATCTGACAGGGGTTGGCAGAGGCAAGCGCTGGGGTCCAGGTCCTCCAAGGAGGGACAGAGGTGAAGGGCGACAGGTGAGCTGCCAGGGGTGCAAAGGTGCCAGGTGTGGACCGTGGTGGGGCCAGGGCAGCCACTGAGGCAGCAAGAAGAGAAATCCTGGAGGGAGGGCTTCCCAGGTGGAAGGAGAGAAGAGACCAGAGGTGGGCTGAGGTAGGGGACAGGCAGGCAGGAGGCAGTAGCAGTGTCTGTCTGGCCAGAGGGCACACATGAGGGTGGTGTGGAAGGCTTGAGCTGACCCTGGAGGCAGGCAGGCAGAGCCCAGGCTGCCTGGGGTGCCAGGTAAGAAGTGCATTCCCGCGTGAGCTACAGGAAACCGGAGGAGAGGCCAGCAATTTGGGGGCTGAACCTTAGAAATTTCATCTCAAAGTCTCGTAGGTGCTGCTTATTTATTTGTGCCTTGTCTTTATTCATCCCTGAAACGTTCACAGGGATGGGAGCTGCAAGGAGATGGTCCTGCCTACCCACACCCCTGTCCCCTCGCTGGCAGAGGCCACTGGCAATGGGGGAGGCAGCCCTGCTGGGTAAGTAGAACCAGGCGATGCCAAGTGCAGGAGCCCAGCTGGCTATGAATAGCTCCTGGGCGAAATTCCCTGATAAAGGTTAGCGCGGACAGTACGCGCCAGCGCGTGGCCAAAGCCGGGGCTTGGGAGGCTGAGATCCAGAGGGCGGGGTGAGGGCTTGGAGGGTGTCCCCTCAGAAGTCCTATGTTGAATCCTAGCCCACGTCCCTCGGAATATGCCCTTATCTGGCACAGGGTCACTGCAGACACACCCAGTTAGAATGAGGCCCGCTGGAGGACCTGTGTGGCTGGGACACCAGGGGAACCTTATGTGGACCTGTAGGCAGAGATGGGGTGATGCCTCTGCCCGCCACAGAGCACCTCAGAGGGCCACCCAGAGCAGAGGGGAGGCTGGAGGATGCTCCCTCAGGCTTCCGAGGGAGGCAGCCTGCTGCACACCTGTACCTTGGACCTCCAGGCTGCGTTACTGGAAACAACTCATTTCTGTTGTTTGAGCCCCTCAACCTGAGGGACTTTGTTAGCACAGCTCCAGCAAACGCAGACAAGCAGCTGCTGAGCAAGGAGGGGGGGTCTTTTCCTGACAGGCATGGGGGAAGGCAGGAAAAATGGGGAGTGAGACAGGAGCCGCTGCGTGCAGGGCGTGCGCTTGGCTTGGGCCTGGGAGGGTGGCGATCAATAAGCTCTGCTACCCTCAGCCGATGCACTTATCAGACCATTTTAACGCAAGCATATAACACTGAGCCTTGGTGCAGCGGAAGGAAGAGGAAACATGGCAAGTGGCCCGCGGGGTTTCTGGGGGGCGCGCGCAGCCCAGCTTCCTGGCTCGGCCAGCAGGTGTCACCCTCCGCCTCTCCCGGCCCCGCCCGCGCCCGCCCCCACCTGCTGTTTTCAGCCTCAGCTCCCCGAGGCTCCAGGCACCCCAGGCTCCAGGGCACTCGCGCCTGCGGGTCCAAAGCTGCTGAGCTTCTGTTTACTTCTTGCCCTCTTCCAGCGGTTAGAGGAAAAAATTGGAGGCCAAGAAAATCCTTTTCTCCTCCTTTTTCTTCCTTCCCAACGTGGTCAGTGTGATTAGAGCCAGGAAGGCGGTTTCCACCTTGTGAGCTGGGAGCCTGAAACCCCAGCAGCTGGTTTGACCCACACTCCCTCCGCTCCCCTGCCCGGGGCAGTTTCTGGCCGGAGCTGTGGGCTTGGCGGTCCTTGGTTCCAAGGACTCTGGAGTCCATCGTCACCAGGCCGCTGCCTTGACAGCATCATAATGTCCAGCTCCTAGAAACTGCCTGATGAGCCTGCTCTGAAGCAGCTCGTGCTCCTCACCGGGGCAGAGCTCCACATGAAACTCAAGCAAGGTTTTGAACAGAGGGAAGCAGAATTCACGAGGCAGCTCTGCTCTGACTGACTCTGCAGGTGAACAGCTTTGACTCCACACACGCAAGGAGGCAGAGGGAGGATGTCCAATGCCCCTCAGCCCAACGGGGTGATGGACCCCTCCAGATTCAGCGCTTCTCAAACACGCTCGTCCAGAAGTTGAAGTGCCATGAAATAGTAATATATTTCAAATACACGTATATAGACACGTTTATATATTTAACATATATTTAAAATATGTTTACATTTCATACTTATTACACAGCTGTATTTTTCCCCAAGGGAACTGAGAGAAAAGGACTCCTTCCATTTTACTAACAAGATAATATATGCATTGCCAAGGGGCAAACTGAAGAACGCTTATTCTTTATCTTTCAATTAATTAATTAATGAGGTCACACTAATTCCCAACACTGTACAGGTGCCAGGAGTACATGTTCTCACCTGCTACCCATTCCCTCCCGCCCCCTCCCCTCTGGTAACCATTACTCTGTGGTCTAAGGAGACCCCTTATTCTAGCTCAGATTCCCAAGGTCCCATGTTTAAAAGTCTCAAAGTACTACCGACTGGGCCACGGTGCTGTTTACTAGACCTCTCCCGGGCGGGCAGCTTCACCTCTCTGTTTCTATGGTGTCACTTCCAAAGTGTGGTGTTGGTGTGGCTGAGAGGCCACATTTAAATCACCTCAACAAATATGGCTGAATGGCTTGTGCGTAGCAGGCGCTGAGCCAAGTGACCCAGCTGTGCAGGGGCCAGTTTCCCGATTGAGGGCGGGGACACACAGCTCTCCTCTGCAATCATCTGGAAGAGGTGGGGCGGGGCGGAGCGGGGAGAGCTGTCATAACCCCCCACACACAGTGGACAGGTCAGCAGGAGAGGCAAATGCAAGAACATAAATTCTGTCTGATTGGTCTCAACACTCAGTAGAGTGGGGTTCAGCATAATTTATAGCACGCTCTCTGCTTCTTTCTAGAGAACATGATTTATTTGTGTCTGCATTCCCAGGATTTAACTCAGTGTTTGTCCTGTGCGAAACGTTCCGTACATATCGATGTGATCAAAGCAAGAACCTGAAATCCCCCAATGAAGTGACTAGGGTAGACCGATTGCAAAAATGTTCTGAATTCTTCTTTCTCTCTGTGTCGCTACTCTGCAAGGTGATCCAGTGACAGCGCCTGTTAAAAGTTGGAGTCTACCCCTAGCCTTGGCCTTGGACCTGGGCTGACCTGTGACTTGTCCTGGATAGTGGTATGCACTGACAGTCCTGCTGCTGACCTTGGCCTCCAGAGGCCCGTGTGCCTCTGTCCTCACTTGGAGCACTGCCATCACCTCTACCCCAGTCCAGGGTATGCTGGTGGAGAACAAGAGAAGCCAGCTAGACCGGCCTCCAGTTAGCTGACAGCCCCTCAGGGAGTCCCCCAGAGACCAGCAGCAGAGCTTCCTTATGACTCTCATCTGACCACACAGGCACAAGAATGGCCACGTCCAAAGGACTGTGGTTTGGAGTCCACAGAGCAAATGCTTGCTTTTGGAGTCACTGAATATTGGGGTGGCTTGTTACCTAATTATATGTTGTGAGCCTACACAAAAACCATCTGCTCCTTCTTAGCCCCTTGTTGGTTTTAGTGATATTGAATTGTACCAATTCTTTATCAGATGGGTTTAGAACCCAGGAATAGTAGACATGTTTGTTGACAAGGGAACAGAGAAGCTGAAGTTCATTGTAGGTGAGCAAAAGTCTGTTTTTAAAATGGTGTCACAGATGAACCCTTCACAAGAGTCCTCCCTAGAGTTAGGCTTAGGAAAGGCACACGCACTGTTGGCTACCCAGCAAAGGCCATAGCAAAACACCGGAAATACCCCAAGGCTTGCAATTTGGGGATCCAGAACCAGACTCTCGTTATGCATGCAGCACACATGAACTTTTGGGCCAGGGAATCTTCTAAGGCTTCATGTCTGAGTCCAACACCATGCCAAGTGTCTCCTCCTTGAGTTAATGCATAAAGTTTTGGGGTAGCACATAGTGGTTTGGTACATTTTCTGCAACCATCTTGACCTCACAAATCCCCACCAAGCATTGGTGGGAAGCACCGGGTGGTTAGCAAGAGACACCCCAGCCCAATCCAGGAAAACTCACAACCCCATGCAGATCTCTCAGGGGCAGGCAAGTGCAGCAGAATGAGAAGCAAACGTGATGAAAAGGACAAAGCAAATGTCTTTCTTGGGGGCACCACAGTCAACAGTGGATGATGCAGCAAGAGAGCTCTTTGGGCTCTTGGACCTGTGCCGACTCTGAACATACCCCTGTGCCCTGTTACTCAGGGCCCAGTGAAATGGCACCAGCTCAGTGCAGGTAAGGACTCCACCTGAAACTGGGTTTTCAAGGCTGGAGATGCTCACATTGGAAATGGAAGTAGATGCTCTAAGGGTTGGTACATGATTAGATACTGAAAAACGTGGGGTGTCCATTGGAAAGATGACAGAGAAGGTGATCATGGAATCCACAATCGCTGAAAAAAGCCTAGAGTATCTAGTCAAGACCCAAAGCCATAACCAAGGAGATTATATAGAAAGATCAAGTGCATCTAACTTCTCTAAATGTACATTTTTTTTAGAGACCATGAGGTCACCAATATGCAAATCAACCAGGAGACCATTCTCAGCTGAAGTTGCATTAACACACTTACCTGAACACTAGCATAAATCTAATTTATTCGATATGGGTGTCCCCGAGGGGTCACCAAACTCCCCACCACTGACAAAGGATGTCCGAGGGACTCCGGTGCAGCTGTGGGGCTCGTCGGTAGACACTGAAAAGGGTGGAGTGTCTCCGTCCTCCTTGGGCTCGCCCTGGTCTCGGGCACAAGGCGTCCACCCTCGAACCTGTGACACTCAATGGTCTCGTTCTCCCTTCAATCCCCCCACCCCATACGTAACCTGCGGCCGCAAGTGCCTCCTGCAGCTCCATCCCCTCACGCTCCTGCTCCTCTGTTTTCTCTCTGTGACTCTGCTCTGTCAAGTCGACCAGAAGGTTTTCACTCCCTTCACTTTGACCTGGGTTCACTTCTTTTATGGGCTGAAAAGAGCTCTTGCTGGTGTCCTTCTAGAAACTGGTGCCGAGCACACATACCCCCACCCACTCCAGCCACTCAGGACAACAGTGTATGTTCTCCCAGCGGCTTTAGTTCCTATCTCAGCTCTGGGATCAATTCACGGATCAATTTTTGACCATCGGGGCCTGGAATGGCATGCCCACGCTATTTGTCCAATAAAAATTTTTGCTGATCAATCAAATTATATAGCTGGGGGCTTAATTATTTTAAAAGCGAGTGAAACAAAGGACAATTCTTACTCTTCTTTAGTCAAAGAACATTCAAAGCAGGAAGATCATCCCTGAGCATATGAGTGGCGTATCTTTTTAGAGTTAGCATCTGTATTAACATCTTAAGGGAAAACAGATCCATTTTATCAGTGTTTGATAATATCTAGAAAGAGAAATACATTCCTTAAATAAGCAGAGGGCATCGTGTTGGGACAAGTAACTAGTATCTTAAAGAACAAAGCAAATAAAAGGGAAACTAGGAAATAAAGCAAAAAGGGAAGAAGAGCTGGACTTGAAGCTGATAGAACGTAGATGTGGTTAAAACCAGGCGCCTGATGCTGGATGGAATGAACAGAAATGTAACAGGCAAACGTCACCCCTTGGAAGTGGTTCTGACCATAGCAAAATAGGAATTTAGAGCAATGGGGCAAATTCTCGACTTCCTCTTGTATCAAAGAGAAAGGGGAACATTAGAGCCTGTTGAGCTGAAAGAAACTCTCGCTTTCAGCGGCAGAGAAGAGGGGACCCCCTGCTTAGAACCAAGCCCGAAAAGGAAGAACCTCTTCCTCCCCTATTCCCACGTGCCAGTCTCTAAATGCCATCAAGAAGTTAGAAGACCTTGATAAAAGAAAGAAATTCATGAAGGCTCTGGGGAAACAGCACTTAAACGGAAAGTGTGAGGCAATTAGACTAGTTTTGCCTGAACAAAGGAATACAGAGAAATTAAGGTGCAAGCCTTGGGGTCTCTGGTTCCTGCTTCTATTCTGAGCTGAACACGGTGAATTTATAATACACACAGCTCGTGTCTGCCGTAGCCCCCCGGGAGCTGATCGTGCGGGGGATACAGACTCATTTCCTTATCAGTCCAAAGAACTATAATGGGGAAGACGGCCCGAGAGCACACCAGTGGCTTCTTAGTCAAATATACTGGGAGTCTCTGCATTTTTCTTTGATTTACGTCGCTCCCTGTTACAAGGATCGCTATCCCAGAGCTGACTATTAAAGCAGTAATGTAAGTAGCTGTTTTTAGCATGAAAGATGTGAAAATGAGTTTAAGTGTCTAGTGTTGGTGATACATAAAGTAGAAACTGTGTGTGTGCTGGGGGCGGGTGAGTGCAGGTTCCTGATGGTGAGTGCAGGCCAGAGAACAACATCCTATCTGCCCTGGAGGTCAAGATTAGGAAGAGTGGGCAAGGTGTGAGTACAGGAAATTCACAGGTTGCTAAGAAGGAAGGAGGAAGGAAGGAGAGCCAAAGAGGCTGGTGCAGATGACAGCAAAGCATGAGTTCGATCCCTGGCCAGGGAGCTACCCACATGGTACCTCTCCTGACTCACCCGCTGCTCCCCTCAGCAGTGTATTTCAGTAGATCTATCTGTTCTGCTCCCCACTCTGTCTCTGGTGAATCCTCTCACCCTCCCACACCTCTGACCTGTACTCCAGTTCTTGTATGCATAAATAAATACATCTTAAAAAAAAAAAAAAGAGTGACTGAAGACTTGGGCAGAAAAGTGCACAGAGGTCGGTAGAGTAATAGAAGGCAAATCGGTAAAATCTAGTCTTCAGTGTTGGAGAGAAAGTGCTCTGTGCTTTCTCGGCAACTGTAGAAAGCAGCTGTTTGGTAGAAGACAAAATACATAATTGTAAAAATGCCGAAAGTGATAAAAAATGTTAAGGATTATATTTTGACTTAGATTTAAGATTTTACAATTCCATTTCAAAATCAGAAAACTTAGATTTAACTTAGGCAGAAAGGTTGACTTTTATTTCAATGCCTGCAAGTTTCTTATAGCAGTTGCAGTCACACAGTACACTCAGCTTTTCTCTTAACTACTGACAGCTAGTAATCATCCCAAGCTTCATTTGACGATGCCAAATTAGATTTACCTAGAAGTCCAAATAAAAAGACAAGCAGCAAAAGAGAACTAATTTACCTTTTCAGGCAAAAACTGTAGACCTAGTATGGAATTTTCTCAAATCAATATTTGAATTTTCTCAAATCCATCTTTGAAAATGGTCCAGATAGACTCTAGTTGCAGAAATTTTTCTTGAAACTCAGTCGACTAATAATTATTCAGGGCATAAAATAAGGGAAAGCAAGGCCTCTGCTCTCTATCCCTGAAGTTCTCAGCCACATGAAATGACCAGTGTCAACCCCTTGGCTGGACATCTGGCCTGTGAGTAGAAGCTCTCTTCACACTGTTCTCAGCACACAATTCTTTGCTGCATTAAAAAGGAAAACCACAAAGGCCTCACCCCATCAGTTTGGCATTTGTGGTTCTCAAAGAACCAGTGCCAGCTTTACACAGGTAGAAAATGGGTTATGAAGTGTCATTCTATTGCAACCACGCTCTACAGACGTGCCATTCAATTTTACACCATACAAGTGAAGTTGTTTTAAAGCCAACAAGTTCTGAACTCATGCCCTGGGGGTTTCGGCCCCACTCAGAAGTCAGCAGAGGCTGACAATGTGCTTCTGAATGGGGTGTAGACTCCTCACTGCAGGCAGGACAGAACTTTCCTATTGTTTCAGGAGAAGAACGTTCTACAAAGAGTATTTAGTCTTCTTTTTGAATGAAACAGAGTCATGAGACCCCAAAATAAATTAACCTTAAAGCCTAAACAATTTGTGATTTGTTCTCACTGTAGTTAATAATTCACTCTATAAAACTGTGCTGTTTTTATTCTGGAGTGATCCTGTATAACAGGGAGTGTCTAACACAGGCACCAGCCATTCTGCAGACCTTAGCTGGTCCTCGAGCCCATCACCTGAAGGATGCCAGTGCCTCTTCGGGAAACAGTGAAACAAAACCACCACCTTCCCAGAGAAAACCCATCTTTTTTTCTTACACTAAGTCCCTTCCTTTCATGCCCCGAGAGCCTCATAATAAATACTTAATCGTTACTGAAGAAATCACTTAACACAGCGATGCTTACCTATCAAGGTGTGGAAAATGGCAGCGATGGCTCCAGCCACCACCATGCACAGGACGGCTTTGGTCCTGTCTCGCTTGCTGTTCACAAACACCAGGCCCACATTTTTAAAGTCACTCATGGGCCCGGTGAAGAACTTCATCAGGGAGTACGCCAGCCCGTAGCTGGCCAGCATCTCCACGGCATCTTCCTTGACAGCAGCGATGCCCCGGTTCAAGGCCTGGAAGGGGGCAGACAACAGACACGGTGAGAAGTTGCCTGGTCTCTGGGGGCTCACACTTCTAAATAAAACTCAGCAGATCGTGTTTCTATAGAAACGCTAAGCAGTTTATAGGACGGGTCTCGCTGGAATTCGATAAAGGTTATTAGTTTTCATTTTTATCCATATTAGCTCAGTTTGCAATACCTTCTTGTGGGGGGGATCCCTGTCCATTGGGGTTAAAGTTAAAAAAAAAAAATCCAACAAGTATGTTCTGGTAGTATCAGAAAATAATTCTCAGAAGTTCTGGTCACACACTTAACATGTTAAATGTATTTGTAAGCTGCAACTACTTAATTGCAAAGGGCATTCTGGAAATGAGTCAGTCACTTTAGATGGGGAGGGTGAGGGTTTCCTTTTTCTTTTTTTTTTTTTTTAAAGATTTATTTATTTATTTATACAATCACTGGGTACAGTCAGAAGCGCGGGAGGGTGAGAGAATTCACCAGAGCCAGAGCGGGGAGCAGAGCAGGCAGAAGGACCGAAGTACACTGTTGAGGGGAGCAGCGGGCGGCAGGAGAGGTCTGCGTGCCATGTGGGACCCTCCTCCGGTGGCGGTGGAGCAGCCGGGGATCGAACCGGCGCTGCAGAGGCCGCAGGCAGCTTCGCAACCCAGTGCTCAACCACTGAGCCACCGGGGAGGCTCTCCTTTTTCTTTTAGAGTGTGTGTGTGTGTGTGTGTGTGTGTGTGTGCACGTGCGTGTGCGTGCATGCGTGCGCGCATGTACAACTGCGCCCACACACATAATCTGAAATACTGAGTACGTATTATGTAGGTCTCCGTAGAGTGAGTTTCTATTGAGAAAAATATAATAAAGAAACTTATTATTCCATCAATGGATGCAATTCATCTGACTCTTGCTGTATTTGAACGGGAGATATATTCCTGGGCTCTGCAGACACAGTTGAAGAAAGAATAAAAAAACAGCCCCCAAAACCCTGCGATCCAATTCTCTCCTTTTGCATAACACTTCCTCAAGAAGATGCATACGTAGAATATTCTAATTTTAGCCCATGTTCCGCTGAGGTACTGGCGGCCTTGTTAGGATGGTTATTTCCCAGCAATCCCACCTACTAGACAGATAAATTACACAGGAGATAGTGAGAATGGGGGTGGGGAACTTGACTGAAAAAATGTCACCAGACCATACATAGCCTCTGTCTTCGGGAACAGACAACTGACTAAGCAAAAAACTCAGGGTTCTGTGCAGTTAAATACTTTTAAAAATAGCCTTTGTTTCTTGTGCATTTTTTAGTTTACAGCAAATGGAACAGAAAGTACAGAGCGTTGCCATACACCCTGCACCCCAACATGCACAGCACCCAACCATCAACACCCCGCGCCGAGCGCTCATGTGACAACCGATGAACATCCCCAGGTCCCCAGCCTGCGTCAGGTACACGCTTCATGTCGTACTTTCTACGGGTTTTGACAAATGTGTGACGACACACATCCACCATCGGACAGCCGAGCACTCTCTGCAAGGCGTTGCTAACAACAAAACACATTTACCGGGAAATACCACTGTATAAAATGATGTTAGAAGAATCTAGACTAAAAGTGTAGGATAGTTGTACAAATTCAGCCTCATTCTTCTGCCAAAGCTGAAAAGCTTATTTATATACGTGATCTCATAAAAACCTGACAAGCCTTATTATATAAGCTAGTTTCTGATCATTGTTTTCCAATTATATCTCTAATTCCCTTTTCTTTTTTTCCAGTTACAACTTAAAAATTTCCATAAGAACCTTCTTGGTCTTTGCAGGGTGTACCACCTTCCTTAAAAACAAATGTGCCTTCTACCAAAGCTGATTTAATAGCGTAACCCCCAAAAGCAAAATAAGAACCAGGGTGCTCCCTGCTGATATCCCTGTGCTTGGTGGGCGCAGCTAGTCAGCAGGCTCCTCCAGGTGTCAAACCCTCCCACTTGATCATTTTTCCAAATTAATTTCCTTTCCAATTCCTGGAGTGGATGCTATCAGATGCTATCAGATGATAGCAGCCCCCCCGCCCCGCCTTCACACCCCCCACCCCCCGCCCCCAACCCCCACCCCTGCTGGGCAGGCATCCATCCCCAGGTATGAAAGTGGCCACTAATGCTCCAAGCTGCCTCCTTCTCCGGGAAAATTGCCACAGTCACTTTGGCTTAGTTGAGCATACCTGGCCCCAGGTAGCAGCGATGCCTGGCTGACATGGGGGGATAAGAGATGGGCTCCCCTGCCTCAAATGGACCGCTCCATTTGAGATTCATGTTTCAGGGCTCCTGAGGCAATCAGGAACAGGGGAGACCACATCCTTAGCTGCCCCCCACCACTGCTTCCCCTTCTCTCCTGCCCAGAGTGCTCACCCAGTCAGCCGTGTGCACGGGAATTCCCCAACAGCCTCTGCTCCCAGAGACCCTGACTCAGGCCCAGGGACAGCTCTCCAGACACCGAGAGCAGAGGAGCGTGCGGTCTTCTCTTACTCATCCTCACCCAAATCGATGGCTGCAAGCTGTTTGCAGTTTTATTGCTAAAATTTGTTCCAATTGAAATGAAATGTATGATTCAGGATGCCTGAAAAGTATATGGGACCCTAATCATGTAGGGTCATGCTCTCTCTGTGCCCAGATGGCAAAGCTTTACCTAGTCTGGCTCTAGAGAGTCGCGCTCTGCCTGGGGCAGCCACTGCACTGATTGTTTGCTGACTGAATCCCAAATCCAGCGTTGAGCAGGTGAGAAGGCAGGCGCGGGAAGACTGAGTGTGAAAACTCTACGAGCTCAGCAGTCATGGTATGATGAGGAAGGGGCGCTGGGGTAGCCACGAGCCTTGAGATGCACCTGTTCCATCACTAACTCAGCAGCCTGGGCACTTACTCCCCCTGAAATGTCTGATCCATCGTGGATCAGACACAGCTGGTGATCATAGTACTAAGCAGCAACTGGCACAGAATAGACCCTTGAAAGCGAGGATGTCTGCCTGTTCTGTTTACTGTTCTAGCCCTCCTGTGTCGGGACCGTGTAGCTCCCAACACTCACACTCGCCTGCAGGAACCTTAAACCTACAGCAGATGTTGATTATAAGGTGCTACTACAGGGCCTCCCTTGTGGCGCAGCGGTTGAGTGCTGGGTTGCGAAGCTGCCCGCAGCCTCTGCAGTGCTGGTTCGATCCCCGGCTGCCGGGTGAGGGTCCCACATGGCGCACAGACCTCTCCTGCCGCCCGCTGCTCCCCTCAGCAGTGTACTTTGGTCCTTCTGCCTGTTCTGCTTCCTGCTCTGGCTCTGGTGAATTCTCTCACCCTCCCGCGCTTCTGACTGTACCCAATGCTTGTATAAATAAATAAAAATTAAATCTTTATAAGGTGCTACTACTTACAAGTTATGTATTGATGCAATGTTTTTATTTTTTTTTATTTTTTTTTTTTATAGAGGCATGTTTTTCATTTATTTATTTATTTGTTTGTTTGTTGATACATGCACTGGGTACAGTCAGAAGCGCGGGAGGGTGAGAGAATTCACCAGAGCGGGGAGCAGAGCAGGCAGAAGGACCGAAGTACACTGCTGAGGGGAGCAGTGGGTGGCAGGAGAGGTCTGCGCACCATGTGGGACCCTCCTCCGGCAGCCAGGGAGCAGCCGGGGATAGAACCGGCGCCGCAGAGGCTGCGGGCAGCTTCGCAACCCAGCGCTCAACCGCTGCGCCACCGGGGAGGCCCGATGCAATGTTTTTAAAGACTGCACCCAGCGATGGAAAACTCTTCCCAGAGCTCAAGAAACATTCAAATGCAAGAAAAGGAGAGCTTTAGAATGGAGGACATCGGCTATATTATTAGCCCTTAATTATTCCCATTTGGAGCAGTATTTCAGCCAATTTGCTCACTTCTTAGTTTCATGATTTTCTTTTGCTACCAAGAGGACTAAAAGATTGAGTTGGTAAATAGTTCACACAAAGTTACTATATATAGTTCTATGTCACTGGTTTGATGGTGTCACTCTGCCCTGAGAGCTCTACCAAGGCCCAGGAGAACAGCTGTGTGGTTGCCCAGGAGGAACAGGACTTAAAATCCAGCAGAAACACGTCTGAGATGTCTTAGGCTTGAATTGAGGCAGAATTCTGTTCTGGGGTAGGTTTAGCTGCTCTTTGGAGGCAAGTTTCTAAATGGTCGTGAACTTTGCTTCAGATGCGGCCCAGATCTTGAGCACGTCAACCTTTGTAAAGACCAAACTGCCTTCAAGCCCCACGGCTGGTCCCGGACAGCAGAGCCGGGCTCTGTTCCCGCTGCCGGCTCATGCTCTTTGCGTCTGGACGAGCAGCGACTTGGACCCTCTGACTAAAAACAGACGTGGCGCTGGAAGACGTTCCGTGGGGCCCCCTACCTGCCTTAGTAGCCCCCCACGGTCTGCCAAGTTCATGGTGTCCTGTGCCTGATTTTTTTCTTGCCCTTGAAAGTCAGCAAAACTACAGGACACTAAAAAGTTAAAAAAAACAAAAGAGAAGAGAACCTTCAAGGAAACACTTAACAAAACACCAGGTGACGCCAGCTCCCTGGAGGAACGGTCAAGAACTTCAATCCTAAAAGAAATCTGACATTTTAACCTTGGGGTCTAGGAACCAGAAACATCTCTGCACTGCAGTCTGAGGTTCTCTGGAGCAGGAGGCACCAGTGACCCCCGTCCTGCCAACCACCTCACGTCAGGGGAGGAAGGCTGTGTCCCGGAAACGGGCAGAGAGGGGGTGCCCCGTCTTGGAGACCCGTGGGGTGCTGTTTCTCTGTGTGTCTAGAGTTCACGACACATGGCACCCCTGGGGTCTTCCACCTTCCCTCTTGCGGCTCCTGCTGTCTTTCCTGCTCTGCTTTCTGCCTAGTCTGTGATCACTCAGCCACACCCTCGCCATAGCCACAACGCAGTCTGCAAATCTCTGAGCTCTCCAATCATTTCCCTCTTCTACTCTTATTTATGTTTATAGATGTCCACTTGGGTTT